GAGAGAGAAGAGGACAACAAACGAGGGGCTGTGACAAACTGTTTCGTCGGAGTTTCACCGACTCATATATATATATATATAGTCAAACAGAGCTGCCCGGTAAACCGTAGGCAGAGAGGGAGAAGAGGACAACAAACAAGGGGCTGTGGCAAACTGTTTCGTCGGAGTTTCACCGACTCATATATATATACATATATAATAATATATCGTCACATTTATATATATGCGGGTGGCACGTCTTAGGGGGTACTCACACAGGGGTGGCAGTCTAGCAAATCTGCTGAATTTTCTTTCCCATGTTTGCTGAAATCATACCCCGCCCGGTCACACATGGGTTGCAAATCAGAAAGGACACGAGTGGGACTCTCTGGCAATTACACCCTGGCAATTACAAAATTGGTGCCTCGCATGGTCACAAAGCGCGGAATTTTTCTTTTACGAATTCCCAAAAGGCAAAAGAGAATTTGCCACCACCTCTCAAGGTGGTAGCAAAATGCCCATCCCCGCGGCCCCCCAGGCCGCTGACAAATGCTACCCCGTTTGCAATTTTGGTGGTCGGAGAACCCTAGTGTGACTCTCGCAGCATAGCAGATTTTGTGATTTAGCAAAAAACCGCTAGTGTGACTATGCCCTAAATTAAATGGGCAAGTATGTTTCAGTCAGGATTGAGCAAATGGGCCAAAAGAAGAGGGGTCAGTCACGCACCGAGTTAAAAAAGGCAATGAAAAAAAACATGGCACAAGTATCCAAACAGGATGGTTTATGGTTTTTTGCAGGCCCGGGAGCATGGTGTGCAGACTGCCGGTTTATGGTTTTTGGCCCCACTCAAAACCCGCGAGCAGACCTGCTGACATGATTTTTTTATTTTTATTTTTCCAAGCCCAATTTCAATTAAAGCCGGGAAACGGGCCCAGCGTCCCTCACATGAATGGTGCAGCCATACAAGGCTGAGAAAGGCACTTCCAGCCAATCCCATCCCCGCAACAGCCGTCCAGCTGCCGAGACCCCGGCCCCCCAGTACTATAAGGCTCAAGTTGCAAAAAAAAGGGAAAGAACGGAGGAAAACCAACATGCCCAAGGCAAAAAAAACTACCATCCTGTAAAGGCTAACCATATCCTATCTGGGTTTCCACACAATCAGCAACACAATCAGGGCATACTCACAAGAGGACCAAAAGACCCTAAATCCCAAAATCTGAGTCAGTTTTCGGGTCACACTGGAGAGGCCCGCTACCCCAATGCCTCAAACGGTGACCCGTTTGTCAGCGGCCTGTGGGGCCGTGGGAGGACCCTTTTTGAGACCACCTTCAGAGGTGGTCTCAAATTACCTTTCGTTTTTTATTTTATTTTTATGTTCGCGAATTGAAGAGAATCGTAGACGAAGAAGACAGCCCGCCAAACAACTGAAAGTGCGACCAGAAACATTTAGGTTGTAGCGAAGGCCTGTGACGCCCAAACCTCACGCCCTGCGCGACTTCCTGATCGGAGTGTGAGTGGGCCTGGAAGTGCGAAAACTTCGCCGAAAAGGGGGTGTGCCAAGGATTTTAGGAAAGTGGGGGTGGAGTCCCAGGTCGGAACCGAGATCTCATGTGGCAAGCTCCGGGATATGAATGCAGGAGGGTAGGCGCGGACTGGAGTTCTGTTTTGTTTCGGGGGACAGAGCTACCGCCTCCGTTGGTTCCGTCGTTCGGGTCGAGGTCGTATCTGGTGCACTATCGGGATGCTATAGGTATCCCGCTGATTCGTCACCTGCCGACGTCGAACGTCGCAAGTCTCCGAATCCGATGCAGCTGGCCTCAATCGAAGACTGTGCGCCCGTCGTTCTTCCTCTGGACGAGTTCGCCGGATGAAGCCGGAGGCTCGGTACTGCAGACACTCTGAGCACGGGGGTTGGGGCCAGTAAGGGGACGATGGTTAGGGAGTGGTGGGGCAGGATGCGGTGATAGGGAGGGAATTCGGTCCCTAAGATAATGATTCCGGGCCCCGTGAGGACGTGACACGTGTATGGGCTAGAGTAGCTGGGGAGATGGGGGTTACGTCCCAAGGCCTGGTCGAGGTCCCACTCGCAAACACGTTCGTTCCCCGTCAAGTAGGGAAATTCCGGAGGTTCCGCCCAGGGTCGCGCAAGAGCGCTCCCAATATTCCCGGAATTCCCAATCCCTCAAACACTCGCGGTCAGTGACACGAAAGGGAACGCCGGAATTCATGCTACAAGTCGGGGTGGAACATTAGCCATTCGGGAAAATTAGTCGAGTTCAGGTTTCGAAGACGAGCTTGTAGCTAGCGATCGTCTTTGGTTGAGCCTACACCTGCGTGCGAGGGACCTGTCCTTCTATTAGATAGGTGAAAGCCAGCGATTCACAAGATGGATCATCCTATAGTGAAACGATCACCTAATAGTCTAGCATGTCTATCCAATTCATACACAGACAATATCATGCCTAGCATCCATACATCTAGCTTACATACAAACAGAAAGAATCGAGGATCATGCAACAATTCTTTGGCCAATCAGCCAAAGATCATACAAGGCTCGATCGCCAAGAACCAATCAATCAGATCCGCTGATTCAAAAAGGCGGAGACGGGGAGTGGGGAAAAAAAAACAATCCACAGGAGTAAAGAAAACGAAAAATCCGAGACACCGATAAAAAAGAAGGACAAGGCGACTGACGCCGAATACCAAAATTGCTCGGAAGGATGGAAGACAAACATCACCACAACACATCCCATCTCTCTCTCTCTCTCTCTCTCTCTCTCTCTCTCTCTCTCTCTCTCTCTCCACAATATCCCAATGCGGGCAGTTCGTCGCCTCGCACCCACAAAAAGTTGTCACCCCGCTTAGTCTGAACATGCCAGCCAGGTTCGCCCGTGTGCCACAGTCCGTCGCGGCCCCACGTCAACCCCGCATGCCCAACACCAGCTCGTCAGATCGCCCAACTCTCTACTCACCTTCCAAATCTCGCTCGTTAGTCGATCCTCTCAACCTCGCTAACTCCAAGTATTCTTAGAGAGCGAGTTAATTGCACTTGCGAAATTTATAGCATGCATGCTTGCACGAGATACCCGGGGTTGTGCCTAAGTGGAAAAGGGAGGAAGGAAGTGCCTACGTCTGCATGGCCAGGCCTCACCGTGGGGGACGTAGCCTCACTCCGCACATCGATCCAGTCATGCAAGCATTCGAATAGGATAGAGGAAGAAGTACGCGTGCACAGGGATGCTACAAAAGATATCAAGAACAAGAGGATTACAGTTGCAATTATGCTCACCAAAACAAAAGTTCCAGTTACATGCAAGGATTAAGGCGCGGAAAAGTTAGAACACAGATCCTGACGCGGCAAAGCGTGCTCAAGCAAGAAGCGTCGTGCAACAAAAATTGAGACGCGCCTAAATTCCTAATCTAAATCCTAATTGCAAAACAAAATTTCGAGCGAAGCAAATTCCGAGAGCCCACGGGGGCCCGACCTCAGTTGAAAATTCAAAAAGATTTTCCCGCGCGACGACCGCGCCAAAATTCTCATTTCCCACAGCAGAACAAGAAAGAAGCTATTGCAACAGTTGTCTTTCGCGCTCGCTAAGACGCGGCCAGCTACCAATCGTCACAAGATCACCCCTGCCTCGATTCCGAAAAACAAAGAAAGCAAGGACCCCCATGTAATCCCGCGGGCCCTCCCCATTCAACCTCCGAAGTAGCCTTGCACAGAAAATTGCGCGGTTGCAGAAAACAGTTCGTCAAATATGTGATACCCAGGGGGTTCCAATCTTGAGCAAGCTCCTGCTTGCTCTCCCAATCATCCGTCGATCTTGTGAGAAAGCCCCAGCGATCGACGTGGAGCCGACACGTGCCACTTACCGTGAGATGAGAGTGCGGAAGTCATCCAGGTGGCACCCGCGAACTCCGATCCTAGAGATTGTCGGGGAAGGGTAGAATTATGGGGGAGGTGGAGGATGAATTTGCGGGAGGGGTGGCAGAAAGCGACGGAGCTGTCGATCACCAGTAGGGAGTCAGGTGTAGTGGACGGTGCGATGAATGCGAGGAAAACGATGATCTTGATGAGGGAGCGAGGCGAGGTAATCAGGATAGAGGGTACAGAGGGTGCGGGGAATCGCGACACAAAAATTCTCATGCTCTTCGCATGCGGGGATGGTACCCGCGATTATGCAATAAACCTCTATATTATTATATTCCTGCCATGCCGCGCCAAAGAGAAGGATGCGAAGGGGAAAAAAAATTACGAGAGAATGAGTGGTGGCGTGCAGGAAAACGGTGGCAATGAGGCGGGTAGAATAGAGTTGGTGGAAGAGGGAAGGTGGGAAAGGATGCAAGTTAGAAGGGAACGGAGGGCGGCCCACGAGCTGATGGATGGTGAGGTAATCAAGGGGACGGCGGGATAACGACCGGGGACGAAGCCTAGGCGCCCGCATCTCCACGTATGCGAACGGTGGGCCGTGGTGGTGGAGAGGATTGAGTCGGCGAAGGACTTCTTCTACAGCGTCGGCTTCTGTATCCCTCCGCGGTGGTGACGCAATCTTCTCCGGGCTCCTCTTGTGGTGACTCTGGATTGCGCGCCGGATCGCTTTGTAGTAGCCACGCCACAGGTTCGTCCGAATCTTCCACCGGCCACTTTCCTTTTGCCCTTTCCCGCCTCTTCTGGGCTGCGGCTTCGTCTTCCTCCTCACTCCGTCCGTTGGAGCTGTCCGATCCACCCGAGTCACTTCCTTCCAGCTCGCCCTCCTCAGACTCGTGGTAATGAAGGTCCTCAGATTCCGCCCCCGAGTTTTCTTCTTCTTCTTTGCTCACCTCCTCTCTCTCTTCCTCCTCTTCGTTTACCTCTTCTTCTGCTTCCACCCTTCGAGTGATCAGATCCCACAAGGTGAGATCGGTCACGTCAATGACCAGATAGTGGCCCGAGGAGGGGTAGTAGGAGTTATCTCGATCGAACTCCGTACTCGTGGACCACAACAGATGAGGTACCAACGTACGGGTGAGTGTCGCCGGTGTGGGCCGCTCGTTACAACGTGAAATGATATTTAGAGGGAGATCGTCCAGGAGCTGCGCCAGGAACACCAAAACTTCACTCGTGATTGGCTCTACGTGGCCGTCCCTCACCTTTCCGAATAGAATCCCCAACAACTCTCCTTCCGTATCCGTTCTCTACGCCTGGATTATCAACAGCTCCACGCTACGTGACACCCGCGGTCTACGCCGTGGGCATTTCGGCCGCTGCGGCCGAAAACGTCGGCCGCGACCGCGGCCGATGAGGCCCAATCCACAGCCGTTCTTTTAAATAATTGTTTTTACCCCAAAAAATGCGTAAAAAACAAAATAAAAAAATATAGGGGTGTAGGGCTTGAAAAACCCTACAATCCTATGTTTTTTATTTTGGAATCAGACTTTGTTTACGTTTTTAAAAAAATGAAAAACCAAATTTGATTTAAACAAAATATTAAAAAAAAAAAAAAAAAAAGCAAGAATTGTTTTTTGTCATTTTTTATCATGAGGGATATGGTCCCTGAGTTGTGCTGTATTTTTTTTAGAAATGGATCTCGATTATTTGTAGGGAAATTAGGTGTTAAAAAAAAATGAAGATGCAAAAATTTAAAACAAATAATAAAAAAAGGGTTTGATTGATTGATTGATTGATTGAGGGAAATCAGATAGTCATGTACCAAGCAGAGAGCTCAAACGCACCAAGATCCATCCAAATAGGAGCAAAGCAGCGAACTCATTTGCCAATGTTATCACAAACGAGTCACGCAGAGGTCGAGATAGTCATGTACAAAACAAACAGCTTGAACGCACCAAGATTTCATCCAAATACGAACGAAGCAGCGAACTCGTTTGCCAATGTTATCGCAAACGAGTCGCGCAGAGGTCGAGATAGTCATGCACCAAGCTACGTGGCACCCTAGGCTGTGGCCGTAGGATCCGAGTCTGCGGCCAGGATCCTAGGCCGCAGGCCCGCGGCCGTGCCACGCGCAGGCGGGCGCGCGCCCTCGAAATCCGCGCACGCGGTTGGCCTGCACACGTCTGCCAATGCAGGCCTATGGCAAAAAAAAAAAAAAAAATCGAAAATTTCGGGGGGGGGTGATTTTTGATATGTTAAAAAAAATAAAAAAAATAAAAAAACAAATTTGATTGATTGATTGATTGATGGATTGATTTTTTTTTTTTGGTTAATTGATTGATTGATTGATTTAATGATTGATTGATTGATTGATTGATTGATTGATCGATTGATTTTTTTTTTTTGATTGATTGATTGATTGATTGATTGATTGATTGAT